TTACCAGAGAACAGCAAGCAAGCGCTCTACAAAATAACTTGGTCCCAGGTCTTGTTTACTGGAGATGATTGTTCAAGCCCCACCAAACCTTATTAATACACAGACGAAGAGCTGGTGATTAGGTGAGTAAACATTTCAGGGCGTGTCCCATTTTTGCATCTTTACAAACAGCTGGGAGCGTTCCAAGTCGATGTGGATCTTAACATTCTCTGCCAAGTCTCGTATTTGTCAGTATCTTGTAACTGTCGGTGTGATCGCCACTTTTCTAGGTAGCGTTCACGACAAAAATTTATCACCCAAATATCAACAGCAACGGGAGTATTTGTTTGGACATTCTACGGTCGCAGTGGTCTCCTGCTCTAACTGTGTCAAAAGGTACTCGCAGTCGATGTTCACCCCCCCCATGTTGTGTGTGTGTATAGAAAATAGAAAGACAATAGTTGCATCTCGTGTGTTTTTCTGCCTCTTTCAGTGCTATTGTCCATATGTTCTTTGCTGTGTGATCCAAACCCGGATGACCCTTTAGTTCCAGATATAGCACAGCTGTACAAGAATGACAAAGAAAAGTTAGTATGCACGCACCCAAAGTCTACAGTTTTGGATTTCTGTGGAACTTAATCTTCCCCTCTTCTTCTCTCTCTTCAGATACAACAAACTAGCAAAAGAATGGACCCAAAAGTATGCCATGTAACAAAAACAAAGTTGCATTTTAAACATGTTTTTTTTTCCTTTGTATTTTTGAAGTCATAAAACACTGTAAAATATAGGAAGGAATTGAATAATCGCCAATCAACAGTACAATGACATTACTATCACCCCTTGAGGCTCACGCAGCTCAAGTAAAAGCAGCATGTTTCAGTGCTTTTTAATCATTTTAAAAATCGGAAAGTTTTTGTTTCGAATTGTAGCATTCTTCTTGTTCGAGTAAAAACGATAAGCTGCCCTTCAGCCACAAGGAGGAATGCCAAATATGCTATCCCTGATTTAACTGTATTTCTAGAATTAAAAATGGACACTCTTTATTATTATTATTTTTTTTAATCTCCTTTAACAATATAACTTGGACATAGGTTTTTTTGTTTGACTTTCTGTATGCAGTTACACTGAATGGAACAATGTACAGGTGCTGTCCTTCCAAAACAAAGCTGTTTAGAAATTAATAACTCATTGCTGTCTTGTTTTTGTTTGGTATTTTGAAAAAGTATTCCTATTTCACCAAATTGGGATAATCTACCTGTCAACCTGCAAGTGAAAAGAATTGACTTTTCTCCCCTGAGAATTGCTCAGGTGTTTTTTTTTCTTTTTTGATTCAAAACGGATCATATTTGTAGTTTGTCTTATAGGTTAAAATGTGATTGACATTTTTATCAAAGTTACAGAAAGTGTGAGAAGCTTTTTGTTGTGTTCCTGTACAAATTGTTTCACGTGTCTGACGCCTACAGGGCAAATTTTGTACTAAAATAAAGAATGTTACAGTCCAATTGTAGCTTTCTTGTCTACATTCAAGTATGGGGAACAGAGACAAACATGAATTAAAAGTAATTTGCAAAAATACTTTTTAATACACCATGTTCTTTGCCCTCCAAATGAGATGAAGCATATAAACATGCCCCACTGTACAAACGTCAGCAACAAAAAGTAATGTGGTGAGTGGACTGCAAATTCCAGTTATTTTATTTAATTAAAACTAAAATAAATAAATAAAATCATAAACTACATAAAGCATGGTGTCAAACTCGAGGCCCGGGGGCCAGATCCGGCCTGTCGGGTCATTTTATGTGTCCAACAAAAGCAAATTTCGTGTGTCAACCTGTTAAAATCTGTACCGAAATGTCAAATTGTCATGTGTAATAAATAACGTTGAGATTTTACAATAATTTTGTTACCCAGTTTAGTCACTTGAATAATAATTGAACAAACCATTATAATTGACTGATTTCAAAACAAGTAATCTATTAATTTGTTGTGTACAAGTAATAATTTTATGGTTTCACTGTCATAGCGGCCCTCCGAGGGAAGACGTAACTCCAAATTGGCCCGCGACTAAAATGAGTTTGACACCCCTGACAAAGTAATGGTGACCTGAGTATGTTGGCTCACATTTACTATCGACAAGGACTAAAGTGCCGTTGTTTGGCGGTTCTGTTCGGTTTTGTATCCACGGGAAATCCCTTTGTTGAGCTTTCTAGGATTGATGTGCCTGATGCTGAATCGTATTGTACTTTACCAATCCCCAAAGCATGGCTCTGGCTACATCTTCACTCCAACTAATCGATTGTAGACAACCACAATGTTTTCAGCCAGAAAGTCTCCCTTTAGGAAAAAAATAATAATTTGCAAAATTGAACTCTTGGTTGTATTATTGCTCACGAATAAAAGTAACCTTATGATGTATTAGTATTTTCCCGAGGTGTAATTTTTACTCCCCCGAAACACAAGGCACTTCATTTCTGGTTTTAATGAATTATATAAAAAAATATTTACATTTAAGGTCACGGTTGCAGCGCCAAAGGCAAAACTCAATCGTGGATTAAACTCAAGAGGCAGCTTCCGATAGAGAGAACGACAGCTTTTATGATCGTGCCTTTATACACCCGCAAAGGAGTCTATTTACCCTTTCCGAGTACACCACAAAAGTTGAATTGCAGCAAATGGACTCTTGAAGATGTTTCACCTTTAACCCAGAAGTCTTTTTGTTCTAAAACTGCTACTGAGGGTGGCCGAAACAGTTATAAGGATTCGAGGCCAAGTTCTTTTTCAAACTCGGCCAGGTAGCTTGGAATATTTTTTTCTCCCCTTTATAAATAAAATAACCATTTAAAAATGGTGTTTTCTGTTTACTTGGTTGTAATTCCTGTTACTTATTTTTTGTCAATCAAATTCCATTCTGCAGGTGTACAAAGGCAAAAACCATAAAAAAAATTCACATATTATGCTTTTCAAATTCCATTATGGAGGTTTACAAAGGCAACCCCCCCCCCCCAAAAAAAAACATGGAAAAAAAATGTCCGTCAATATCCAACTTCGGGCAAGCTAGCTTACCGGTTATTTTCAACAGGACTGATAACAAACATACAAAGATGCAGTACATTTAGAAGAACAAAAAGACAGTCAAGCGTCCACGTCATTCAACGAACGGTGGCCTGTAATTATGACAGGTGGTGTTGGAATCAATAGATATGTAGTCATAATTTGATCACATTTACTTTTGGTTGGCTATACTGTAGCTAAAAATGTCCCATAGTTAGATACACGACCCAAAATTACATAATATATCCAAATTAAATGTGCATAAAAGGAACAAATGCCACTTAAAAAAACAACAACACACATTTGGCCACTTAAGAGTCCAAAATATATTTTTTTTCCTCCATCCTTCTCAAAAAGCAAAGTGATATATTTTTGTAAAACTGACATTGAATATTTCTTTTAACCAAATCCATTTTGAACGAGTTGGATTTAAAAAAAATTGAACTTCTACATTTTAAGTGTCCTTTATTATATGTATCATAAGAATGATGCAGAAAAGAAATGCAGCATGGTGAGAGACATTCATTTTAAAGGGCGAGTTTGCCATTCATAAGGCAAGGAACCATATTTGGTAATACACTTCTGCTTATATTAAATTGGGGTCAAAATGAAGGGCCACAGTCCATACAAAAAAAAGGACAAATTGTGATTTCTTCCAGCCAATTACAGAAAGGTAACAAAAGAAAACAACTTGTGAAAGTCAAAACAAACTGATAGTGTAAAAGATTAAAAAAAAACAAAAAACATTTAAAACTATTTTCTCAAGGTTATATACTGTATAAAATCTGGCATTTGAACGTGGGTGTGTAGAGTTTTTAGAGCCACCGTGTGCATCAACTGCATTTATGTCTGCTTTTCTACAATACAGGTGCTCGTCAAAAAATTAGATCATCATTAAAAAAAAGTTGATTTCTTTCAGTCAAACTCTTCAAAAAGTGAAACTTGTGTAACGCATGCATGCATGCATTCATTCCACACAGACTGATAAACGAGGGTCATTCAACAGTTTTTTTTTCTTCAAAGCAGTCTTCCAGCACTGTCACACACTTTTCCCATCTGTGCACAAGCTTCCATATTCCCTCAGCGTAAAAAAAATATTTGGACTGATGTCTCAGCTGAGTTGCTTGCAACACTTTTGACTTCATTGTCAAACTTTCAAACTTGATGCCAACTACTGTGAGCTGCTGAGACAGGTCAAGAAACACAAAGAACAAACTCGGCGGTCATCAGTTAGGAGTCATCATGCATCATGGCAACGCAAGACCTCACACAGCAGCTTGAAATGGTGCAGACCATCAATGAGCTGGACTGGGAATTGCTCCCTCATCCTCCTTCCAGCCCAGACATTCCTGTTTGGTCCCTTCAAAGCCTTCATGAGAGGCATCATCTAGTGGATGCATAGCGTAACGGCAGCCATTATTGTAGCTTCTATTCTATGCGCCCTATATATGAAAACAGTTTCGAAATAGGCCATTTAGTGAAGGTGCGCCCTATAATCCGTAGCACCTTATAGTGCGCAAAATACGGTACATACTTTTCATGTTTACACTTTTTGTTCGGCCAACATTTCTAAACTCCTTTCTTTGTGTAGTATTATTAGTATGATATATATTTATACTTATATATATTATATACATATATGTATTATATATAGGTATTATTCAATTTCTTGAGACAGAGAATTAAAAAAAAAAGTTTTCAGATATAATCATCTAAATTAAAATGAATTAACACTTGAAATGTATCAGTTTGTGTGGAGTGAACATATGCAATCACTTTTTGAATAGTATGACTGGAATAAATCAACTTTTTCATGATATTCCAATTTTTTGACAAGCACCTCTATGTATACATATTCATGTACAGCATGTGTGCGTAAGTGTATGTATATGTGTCACATACTTCAACACATTGCCGGTAAAATTGTAAATCAATCTCCTTCCAGCAAATTGAATTTTGAAACTGAGATCTCCAGGTATGCCGTGACTTTTACCTTTTTTGAAGTTAATGTCGTCACAATTCTGCATGAGAGCGATTCCCATTTTAAAAGAAATGTACAGCATACTTTTCAGAAAAATCCACGCTTGCTTGGCGGTACACGAGTGGTTAGTACTGTACATTCATCTCACAGTTTGAGTCCGGGCTCCAGTCCTCCTGTGTGGAGTTTGCTTGTTCTCCCCATGCCTGGGTGGGTTTTTCCTCCAGACATTCCAGCTTGCTCCCAAGTTCCAAAATATGCTTCTTTGGTGAATTGAAGGCACACGATTGTCCTCAGGTGTGAATCTGAGCCTGAGTGTATATTATTGTCTACGTCCCGTGATTGCCGCAAAGTCAGCTTTCAGCGACTCTGTTCGCTTCCATGTTTAAATCATCGTATACTTGATAGATTTAATTTACAAAAAATACTGACAAATATCCGATGTGAGAAAGTGACGAGTTTTACCATTTAGTCACACTGCACTTGAGCTTGAAAACTGCTGTCGACCCGATTAAGGTCTGTGAGGCACATGAATGTGATGTTTATGTCAAAGGTAGCCCTGTTTCAGCTGTGTAAAAAAAAAAGAAAAAAAAAGCCCATTTACAGGCACCAACGCTGCTCTCCAGGTTTGAAACAAGACTGACGTGTGAGCGCTCTTGAATAGCACCAACATGTTCGTGCCAAGAGCTTGTCTCCTGCCAAACACGTGTCGAATACCTGACCGTTTTCTTCCCAAAGTCCAGTGGATCGGGTACATCGCGTTCAGGACTGCTGGCTGCTCCACTGGTTGGTCATGGGCCTCCGCAGTAGCTCCTCCACATGCCGAGCAACGTCCATGGTGTCCTCCAAGTCGAAGTCTCCCTCTGTGTCCAACATGGCGTCCCCTCTAAGAGGAAAGCAACAGATGGCACATTTAAGCTTTTCTACGATGGAACTGAGTTTGACTGACAGGCGCAAAAAAAAAGATCACAAGACTCATCCTATCAGTCATCCCATCTAAAAAGAACATAAAAAGCATAATTTGGTTCAAACTTTTACAGTTTCCTTTTTACATCCTATTTGGGTTTGGTCTGTGGTTTTCTGGGTTGTGTCTATCGTTCCGGGAGTCTCAAAATCACTTTCATCAGGTATCTGTCTTCGTCTTGCTCGGGACTGCTCTAATTCGCGTCCAGGTATGCCCATTTCAATATTCTGTGTGTATTTACTCCGCTAAAATTAGGTTTAGATTTTGCCTGGTGTCATGTAATTTTTTTAATTTTCAGTTTTGATGGTTGCCCTCCATTTCATAGTTTTTGAAATAACCATGTAATTTTTTTTAAATTCCTGTATTTGGGTCCAAATTCTCCTCCACCATTACACGTGACAAAATAATTTTATCTACTGTGTACACCACAGGTGTCAAATTCAAGGCCCAGGGGCCATTTCTGGCCCGCCATATCATTTTGTGTGGCCCGGGAGAGCAAATCAAGCTTGTCAACTTTTCCATGATGCATGTACAAAGTCCGAATCAAAATTTAAAATTGTTACATACAATTCGTCATAACAGAGATATTGCAAGCATAATCTCGTTACGTACTTATTGCATTAATGTGAACAATGGCTGAACAAACCATTATTCTTGACTTCTGATTTCAAATCTAGTTATCCACCAATTTCTTGTGCACTGAATATGTAATTTGTGGAGGTGATTAAACATTTATACGGTTTTACAAAACTCACAAGTCATAATGGCCCCCTCAGGAAAACCGTAACTACAATGTGGCCTGCGACAAAAATGACACCCTTGATGTACACAAATAAAAATAAGGATACATGCTTACATGTGGTAGGCAGCAAAATTGTTGGGATTAACAACAGAAGGAGAAGCCGTCTGGTCCATGAACGTGGGAGTTGTTCCACTGGGTTCAGGATTTGGAGTGGTGAATCTGTCAAAATTCAATGTCGACTTAAATATATATGATAAAAAGCAGATAATACTTTAAATATTACCCACTATTCATTTAGGTATTCAAGAAGATAACTCACTCTGGGACAACTTGTTTGATCTGTGGTTTTACGTAGCCATCCACTGCTTTTGCTGCAAGACGAACCAAAGTCATGAGGATCAATTTTAATAACTCAATCTGCATTTGATCTCTTTTGTTCAAATTTAAATTCAGAATTTTTGATTTCTTAAACTCATTTAATGCCAAAACATAAAATTATGCTTGCAAAAACCTTGTCATTTCGTGCCAAAACATAAAATTACGTTTTTGGTGGTTTTTATTTTGAAAAAGGTCATGAAGGGTTTTGCGCAGTTCCTCAAGAAGTATCAAGGCTTGAGGAATGATTTCAGTACACACACACACACACACACACACACACACACACACACACACACACACACACACACACACACACACACACACAGTTCAACGTTCATGAAATGTTCATGCATAGTTCATGCATCAGTGCAGTGTTTTTCTTGCAAGAAACATTTTGTAATCAAAGTGACCTTTTTGTGTTGTTATTTAGTAGGAAAGCATTGTTTCGATCCTTGAGGTATCACAAATGCAAAAAAAAAATATATATATATATATATATATATATATATAGAGAGAGAGAGAGAGAGAGAGAGAGAGAGAGTGTATGAAAGTGAATGTTCTGCTTGAAATGCATCCTTTCACAAAAAGCTTTTCGGTAAAATGTTTTTCCTGATGAAACAAGAGGGCTAAAGATTTCTTTTTGTAGGTTCCGTGCTTGTATAGCGACAGAACTCAAATTTCTGTCGCTATACTTTACCATATTTGAGAAATATGGCTGGCATTAAATGAGTGAAGTAGACATGCATTTGCAGACATGTGTATTGAGTTTAAATAAAAATACCGTATTTTCCGCACTATAAGGCACACCGAAAAGCATTGAATTTTCTCAAAAGCTGACAGTGCGCCTTATAATCTGATGCGCCTTATATATGGATCAATATTCTGATTTCTTGGACGTAGTGTTTTAAATGTTCTGTAAAGTGCTTTTTTACAGCTGCAGCGGTTGTGAAAGCGCTATATAAATAAGGCCAGCCACTATTGTAGCTTCTATTCTATGTGCCTTATAATGCGGTGCGCCTTATACATGAAAACTGTTTTAAAATAAGCCATTCATTGACGGTGCGCCTTATATCACGGAAAATATGGTAGTATGGTAACATGTACACAAGCTTCATCGCTGATACATACAGAGTGGTGGTGTGTAGTACTTTGCAAAGACCTCATCTTTGGGTCGGTCGGGATAGAGAAACAGGAGATGGTTCAGATCACTGATACGGTCAGCCAAGGAGCGAATGGAGAAATCTTTGGAGGTGTAAGGCAACAAATTCCATACCAGCCTTTCACCTGCTCACCAAAAGGAAGAGCATCAAATTATATTCACCACTTGCACAACTCAGTGTGCTGTACACAGTGTCTCCAAAAATCACATGGTCACATTAGGGATGTAATGATAACAATAAGGCAATATTAAAAATGTCACAATATCGTTGTCATGTTATGATATTAAAAGCATCACATAACCGCAAAAATTTTTTTTAACTAAATAACGTGCTCAGTGTGGCAAAAAGGTCAATGATGATCGAACAATTTAAGTGGATAAATTCAATACAGTGAATATGAATTAATGGAAAATAATGAACCGGTTGATTTTATCGGAATTATTTATGAAACTTACTGGCCCGGTCAGGCCAGTGTCAGTGAACTTCATTCAGGTTGTCGTCTACTCTGACTGTAGAAGCCTGGTAAAAGACTTTATAATGTGCACTACATTTGATACCTGCTTTGTTGGGGTTCTCTGCAACCCAGGCAATGGTGATGCCACCAATTTCAGAGTCACTGAATCGCAGGAGGAATGTCCCATTGGGTTTGGACAGAAGCATATCCTGTGCCTGCTGCTTGTTCACAAAACCCAAGATGGCCCTGCAACGGGAATATGCAGAGTTATTATTGGTATTTTTGCTTCATAGCTCATGAAATAACAGATTCTGCCAGAGATGCACTAAAACAAAATATATTCCTTACCCATCATTCCAATGAGGCTTGAGATGTTTCTTCATAAGTTCCATGACTCCATCAAACCACTGCCAAAAGGTGAAGTTGCGTCCAGGTAGGCTCTCCTGTTCAGGAGAGTTGAGTTGAGAGTTGCTGGGCAACAGTGAAGCGGAAACTACGCTTCAGGAGCCTATTATTTTCCATATACTACCGAAGAGAGATTTATTGCGATAGTGATGAGATGCTGCCCTCACCCTGTTAAACTGGGCCCACGATATGGTCATGTTGCGGTATTCCTCTGGGTTGTTACTTGTCGTTGTGAAAGCTTTCTGCGCCAGGAAGACCAGGTTGTTCTCCGACAGGCCACGGCCACTGTGCATCTCTGCCTTGTACTTCATATCAAGGGCGTCACATAGCTGGGGCCAGAGTACCTTGTCCGGTACAATGAATGGAACCCGGCCCTGAAGAGACAAGAGTAATTAAAATGAAAGGGAAAAAAATACTGCCATATTTATTCAAGGTAAGCATTTGCAAATACTGTTTGTTTTTTTCTTGGCAAATAGGGTTGTTCTACTCATAGGTTGCAACCAGATTTGAGAAACGTCCCCCAGTGGGAATGCTGTGCAGTGGCGCCACTCATGTTCACTGTCTGCTACCACCACTTGAATGCCGTGATGCGAACAACTGAAAGTTCTCGCTCACGAATGTGCGAAGGATAAAGCACACCAAAGCCATCTTATTGAAAGGTTTATCATCAGATCCTATCGTGGAATGTTTGCAAAAAATGCTGACTGTGGTGAAATCATGGTAGAAAGAATGGAGTGTGGACAAACTCTTTGGAGGTCAATAAAACTAATGCAACGGAAATAAGACCGCAGAATCCAACTCACTGGTTCAGCGAAGGCATTGTCCCAAAGTACTGTCGCTGTGGCATTGTTGTCCTGACTACCGTGGACGATCACTACTACGGGTAGTGATAAAGTCTGCAGGTTAAAACAAAGGAAAGAATGACAAAACCCCCAAATTCGCCATCTCCAGAAATTATGATATTACATAAGAAACAGCATGACTTGTAATATGGCAATTCGGAAGGCTTCTTTAAAGCCATTTTCTTCGTTTAATGAATCTGTATGAGATTCTTTTCTGATTGAACTGCTGAAATGAATTTATTTTCGATCACATTCCAATTTATTGAAATACATTTGTATCCTTAACCACAAGTCAAATCCAGTATCCCAAAAATCAAATTTAAAACCACGGAATTAAAAGGTGAATGAATTACAGTTCGCTTACTTTCACATGGAAGACCAGTTCATTGCCTCCAATGCTGAACTGTGATTCAAAAAGAACCGTGAACTTTTCCTCAGTCACTGACTCTGCACCTCGACGATCCGAACGCTTGATCCGCTTCAGAGACTAAACACACAAAAAATAGATTGATAAATTATAACCGAAATTCTTCACATACGCATGCAGTTGCAGTGTAGGTAACAAAGAAAGTGACCATCTACATTTTTAAACTCCAATTGCATTCATCAGCAGGATCGTAACGCACGTGTGTTGTATTTTCTAATAATCCATGTCTTACACTCATCGTCTTGATATAGCTCGGATGTAACAATATCGCCTCAT